AAAAAAACGAAGAGTATTCGTAAATATAAACTTTCCATCGTAGTGTTCCAAGATAAATAGAAATCCGTAGTCAATGTGAAATAACCACAAAGCAGCGTGAGTGAGAAAACGAATCGAAAAAGTCCGCGTGACATGTAGTATGCGAATTTTTACTGAGGGGTCCTCGAATTACTTCTGGATGAGGAGGGATGATACAAAAAATTGTAAGTAGTTGTGCAGTGTAATCATGCTCCCCGACTATTCTCATACAATATCCAGACTTCCATTACATTTACATCATCAACTTGGGATAAAAACTCATGACTATAGATTATCAGAATTCCCCCCCCCCCTCTCACTTCCTCTTCCTTGGCCCACCATTCCGTACATGCGGATCATCATGAAATCGTTACGATCATCATTAAGTATGCTTACTCTTACTGGAACAATTTTGCAAGTAATCATATTATGAAATCTCCTATCAGCTATCGTGAGAGGCATATCAATAAATCTGAGGATTTGAAACCTAAACAAAAGCCTATACTTGAGTCCTACGAAAAGTCACTCGTTTAAGGACATCTGCCCGCGATCTTCAAGGGTTTATTAGCTGAGTACACTGCGTTTCACACATAAATGACTGTTATGAGTGTCTGCTCATATTCAGAAGGGCAGCATTTTCATAGTGCAAAGTGGCGGCTCACGGATTCAGTGCCCCAGTGCGGCGGCCGTAAAAGCGTAAATGACGCTAATTCGCGTAATGGAGCCAGAGCCGCTTCGGCTCTTCAACCTCTTTGTTCTTCACATTTTCAGTGCCATGCCCTAAAAGTGTAAGTGATCCAGACTCACCATTCAGTACGGCCATGACGCCTTGAGGCAGTTCTGTGATCAGGAATACGGTGACCATGAAAACAAGCCTGTAAAATAAAATTAATTGCATCTGTTCAGGAAAGGTGCAAATGACGTACATATAGGTAGTGATGTCACGCTTGCTCTTTTCTTCACGGGTCTTGAGCAGTTTTGTTCGTTTTTCTTTGTTCTCCTTCATCCGTCCAATCAAAGCTATCGTAAACCAGAACAGTAAAGCACAAGGAATCGCCTGGAATAGCAAATTGCAGAGTTGATGGATGAAATTAGCTGAAAAATACGCTCATAAAATTGCATATTCATTTTGGAAACAGGGAGTAGAAATTTGCAGCCTATGCAGGACTTGCACTACATCGGATTAAGTATAAATTTGCTCAAAGTGTAGATTGTAGATATATTTATTCGCTCTAGAAGAAGTTATGGCCAGATCCCGCAAACTTCGTGAATCCCGGGAAACCCGTAACTTCCGCAGATCCTGCGCATTTTGTGAATCCCGCAAACACCTCGATTCACCATTGCATTTCGTTTTCATGAATGTAAAATTTTGAGCCTTTATGGAAAAATTTCAAAGCCCTTAGATGCGTCGAAATCGCAAATGAAA